TTTCTTCTTCTTCTCTCTCTCTCTCTCTCTCTCTCTCTCTCTCTCTCTCTCTCTCTCTCTCTCTCTCTCGCTCTTTCGCTCTCTTTCTCTCTCTCTTTCGCTCTCCGACTAGCTAGCTGTCTGCATTCTTTACTCCCGCGATTCCACGCTATTTTTCCGCGTGCTGCGCGCGACGCGTCCTCGAAAAATTGCTACGTTTTCTGGATGGAAAAACGCTCGAAGCGGTTCGCGAGATCTCCCCGGGAGGAGAGAATAATGTCCTCGTTACCGGGGAGGGGGGGAAAAAAAAAAAATCTGTAATCTGGACCGATTTACAAAATCAGCCGTAACTTTTTCGAAACGACGCTTAAACGACGAATGAACGAAAAAAAAAACGACCGCGAGATTTTTCCAAAATCGATGCGCGCATCGATCGTGATTTTGCATTTTTGGAAAAACGGACGCGTCGGTATCTGATGCGCGTTCTCGTAACCGGTGGACAAGACGAGGCGACCGATTCGTTGCCGCACGGACAGTTTGTAATAAAATACAACGGGAGGAAATTATTCTTTTTTTTTTTTTTCTTCCTTCCCGAATAAAATCTGCCTATATTTCGAAAAACGAAATAACGAAAACGAATGGCGCTCTAAGTCTCAATTTAGCCCGCGATCCCGTGCATCGTAATTCTCGGCCAATTTTTTCCCCCATAATTCTAGTCGATCTTTCGCATCGACCGATCCGTCCACCCTGATTCACCCTGATTCTCTACATTTTTAGCCGAACCGCTACCCTCGTAAATTCCCCGAGTTTCAATTAACCCGCGCGCGAGTTCCGCGCTGATTTCGCGTCGTTAAGCAGTCGCGCGCACTCGCGTCGAATTTTTTTATTTTCAACGTGGTGGACGCGCGTTTTCGAGAGGGAAGAGAAAAAAAAAGAAGGAATGAGAAAGAAAGAAAGACAGAAAAAGAAAAAGGGAAGAAGAAAGAGAGGAGGGGAAGAAAAGAAAGACATTCATGTTTCACTCGATGAGCCAAACAGCCGAGATTTTAACCGCCCGTGACGTTCAGCGTTGATTCCAGTCGATTTGCAACTGATTCTGATCATCGGTGGCCTGGTCGTCTGCGTGATCCTGATTGGCGTGATCATTATACTCATTCTGCAGTGCCGCGACCGCATCAAACAGCCACGACCGAGGACGGCCCAGACCCAGGAGACTGATATGCGTGAGTGGAATATCATGTTAAAATGAATTATAACGCGGCCTCGTTCGTACTCGCGCGATTTCGTCATTTCGACTCGAAAATTCTTCCTTTCTACGAACGAGCCACTTTTATCGGTCTATCGGGGCGAAAGGAAAAAAGAAAAAAAAAAAAAAACGATAAGCAACGGATGAAGGATAGGTCATTGAATGCAAACGAGGCCGATACACGTTTACGAGTCGTAAACGGGTTGGGCGTAGTCGACGCGCGACATTCAGTGGTCCTTCACCGCCTTTCCAAACGGCTTGTTTATGCTTTATCTATATATCAACCGGTCCTCCCCCCTTTTGCATCGATTATACGCTTCAAAGTGGTTGTTTATATACCACGGCAAAGTTATCCTACGCAGTCGGATATCCACGCTCGAGCAATTTCTCTATCGCTCGACGATCGATGTCGGGACTCCACCCTTTTCTTTTTTTAATTATTACACGAGCCGAGTGTACGTTATTCAGATTTGCATGTAACGTAAACATTTCGAATAACAGAGGCGGCGATATATAATTGTTTCTCTAATCTCGCTTTCACCCTGCGATACCGATCCGATCTCTTTGTTTCGGCCACAGAAGAAACAGACTCGAACGCGGACAGGTATCGGGAAAGCGACAGAAGCAGCAATCTGTCGGACGTGAAGGCGGATATACGAGCTGGATCGAGCGTGAGCAACGCGGAAAGCGTGACGGCGCTCGACAGCGAGGGCGAAGGAAGCACGAGAGGCGTGAACGCTTTGGCGCTGGCAGGACCGGTCCCCAATCCCCTGGGTTATCGTTACAGCGCCGATTACACGGAACCTTCGTTCCCGCCGAAAAATAACGTGAGTACAGTGGTAGCGATGAGTGGTGATGATGAAGGGAGGGGAGGGGGGGGGGGAAATGTTGAAAAATCGCGTCGCATCAAAATTTTCTCTGTTCTCTCGCGCGATCTCGCGCGAGGAAGATGCCAAGAACCGGAGCCAGAGCTTAATCTAGTTTATTGCACGAGGAAGCACCGAGCTCCAAGAGTGCATATTAAAGCGTAGAATCTCTCTCCAGGGCATGCACTCTCGAGGACCGTGTAGATTTAATTTGCAGTTTTTAAGAATTTCCCACACCGAATCCTGATACCTAACTACCTGCCACCACTCCTCCTTAACTTCGCTGCGTGGAACATTTGGAATTCGACCACGTTTCAGACCAGACTTCCTTCTACTGTGATAATCCCGATCCTAATTTCTCTACACACCGAACGAATTGTAATGCGAAAAGAGATCCTTACGTTCGATCGATCGTGAGACGACCATCCCGTCGAACGAATCAATTTTAACGCGTCTCCTATTTTTACGAACGAAACGGATCCTACTTCCGTTCTCTTCGAGAGGAAGGAAACACGACAACGAAAACACCGAGTTATTTTTATTCTTATTTTCGATCACTCGCGATCCCAAAGATGTTCGCGAACGAGATATTTCTGAAAATTGTCGGAACGGAGGATCGAGCGGAAGAAAAGATTTCTTACGATCTTTAACAATCTTCTCGTTTCGACGTTGTAGGACGGCAGTAACAATAACGGTTACGTGCCGTATGTGGACTACACCCGCGACTACATGCCGCCCACGACGCAAGGTGTGGGAGCGTCGCGGGAATCTTTGAGCAGGATACCTTCCGGCGGCATACTAGCCTCGAAGAAGATCGGTCTGAGTTCCGCGAATTTGGGCAGCTCGACCCCGCAAACCACACCCGCGATCGACCCACGTTTCTCGGCAACGTATGGAAACCCCTACCTCAGGTAAACTTCTTAGTAGGCTCCTCCGCCTCTGTCAATGGGACTCGCGCCCATCTGTGTCATCGAGCCCGCAATCTGGTTCCACGTAGCGGCGTAATAGAGCGAGCTTTGACCAACTGTAATTGTGTTTTCGCGCACAGAGGTAATCCTACAGAGGCAAACGCGTCAAAGACGATCGAATTATACTCGAGCCGCGGTTTGGAAACGTGATATTTCGCTCGAAGGAGATGTTGCTTCGAGGGGGGATGATCGATCGAAAAGTGGCGAAAAGATGATACGCGGGCCGATTTCGGGAACACCGTCGATACACACCGTTAACGTTGCAATATTTACGACGTATTGATCAACGGATTTGTTGCACCGTGTGTGCAATCGTTTCCGCGAATTAATTATATTCCACGTGAATTACGAATCGTGTGTGTGGGCGCGCGCGCGTATGTGTGCGCGTGTGTGCGCGTTCGTCTTGAATATTTATAACGTCGGTTCGCGGAACGTCGCAGGCGTTCAATATTAATCGGGCAAATCCGTCGTCCTCGTTCGAACTCGTTTTCGACGACGATGATACGCGATATGTATATTTCTTGTAATATCGATCGACGCACGTGAGAGAACCACCCTGACGTTTCTTTTCTCTCTTCTTCCCCGAACAATAGAATGTCAGCAGCGGAGCAACTGAGACACGCGCCGCACACAGCTGTGCCGGGAGTGACGCCTGCACCACCGCCTTACACGCAAGCAATGAGAATGAATAGCTTGAATACCTTGAACGGCGCTGGACCGCAGGTTAGTACAATGCCAGCGAGCGAATGTGTGCCAAATTCCTGGATCCTAGTTACGACATCTCAGGTGCATTCCTACGCTCACCTGAACCAGTTCCACGAGTCTGGTTGGTTATCTCGTTCGAGATAATAGTTGCGCGATCGATTCGAATCGAGTTGATCGCGAACCTCTCTCTCTCTCCCCGTAATTTTTACCGAGATAACGGATAACCGATGACCGGCCACCCACTCCTCGAACGTTCTTCGAGAGAAAGGAAGGCGATCGAAGAAGCTTTCGAAATTATCTGCATCTCGCATCTGTGTTGCAGGCACCACTGTCGGCGCACTATATCACGGGCGGGCCGAACGGCGGAGTGGCGACGGTGAAACGCACCTCGGCGGTGGGCACGTTAGCGACGCATGTATGAGGCCAGGGGGTCTATCCGAACTAGAACCATCGACGTTCGGGCCTAACTAGTACCGCCTTCGGATCGGCTCACCGCTCCATCGACACTGTGAAACGGCGAGAAGAAACGATTCTCGCGGAGGGCAGTGCGGCGAGAAGGTGTCGAGATGGACGAGCGAGCGCGACCACGATCGCCGACGTCGAACGATTGCTCGACGGGGGAGAAAAGTGGTCGAAGGACGAGTGGAGGAAGTTTCGGGTGAAGGGACAGGGGGGGCAACGGGGGGGAATAGGGAACGAGAACGGGGAGGCGTTGAGATACATCGAGATGGTGCTACGACAATTGCGAAGAGCCAGCCGCGATCATCGAAAACTCGTGGAGGGGCGGAATCGAGGAGCGCGAACGTTTCCTTCTTGCGAGGTCGAGTGTGTTTCGGAGAAGTCGGGCGTTGGGGGAAGTTTGGCGATTCGAGGGGGTACGTCCTCGAGAGAGACGGTGGAAAGGTGGTTAGGAGAAGTTGGAGGATCGAGGGAAGAACCGCAAGAACTCGCCGAGTATCCCTGCGTGGACGTCACGAGGAAACTGTTGGCGAAGAGGAAGCCGTACGCGAGGGGAATTTACCTATTGGAAACGATGCCCAGGAGGATCCACGAGAGGATGAGCGTGGCGGCGGGTCGACAGGGTTTACGATACGTTCCTGCGTACCAAGGAATTGATACCACGATCATTCGATGAGGAACGCCAGGTTTTTCGCCTTAAACGTCCACGCGTCTACGCAACACTCCAGGCCGAGGGTAAGAAATGGCAAGAAAAGCGATCCGATCGAGCGGCGATTCGACCTATATGGGAAGATCGATCCAAGCGAATTTCGAGGAATGGGACGAGCAGCGAGGAAACTGGTATCGAATAATGGCGAACAAAGGATAGACCGGTCGAGCTTGTCGAATTGATCAGCCCGAGCATACGCGTGGTATTCCATTTAAGAAGACTGACTAACTCGATGGGCGAGAAGAGGTTCCTTCATCGACTCGGAAGCACAGTGTATTTTTTTCTATCGACTAATAGGAATGAAAAATAATTGAGCATCGAACGGAAAAAGGGGGAATAAATGATCGTCGGAAGCGATGCGATTTTTTTCGAAAATGAAAGAAGAGAAAAGGAAAAAAGAAGAAAGAAGTTGACAAGAAAGAAGACGAGGAAAGGAAAGGAGGACGATCGGAAGTGACGGTGGTTGGAGAGTTGGACGAAGGACGGTGGTTAGATTCGTAAATCGAAGGAGCTCTTCGGAACGAGAATAGACCACTCGGTATCGACAATCTTTTATTCGCATACTTATATAGATCTCGATAAGCATTTAATGTTCATTCGAAAAACGTAACGAAAAAATGGGAATCGAATCTCATCGCGTTGATCGTTGCGGTCGTAAGTAGCAGCAGTCTTACCTTTACAAGCATCGTGATGCGAATTACCTACTACGACTACGAACGGAACATGGAGCGATTATGCTCGCTATGGAAAGAGGTTATTTCGCGTTTCTGTACATGTGATACGTAGACGGATGTCCAAGTCTGTGAATGACGTGTTCGAAATTGTTGGATCGCGTCTCGGACGGACAACGTCTCGGCTGCTACTTCGACGTCACTGCGTCGCGTTGCCTTTTTTTATTGTAGGGAAAAAAAAAAAGAAAAAGAAACGTTAGGTCTCGCGGATAAATATATTCGCGGATATAAAGAGGAAACTCAGCCAAGATCGTGCCGCTTGTATGACAAGATCGATCACGATCACCTTACGGCCTGGAGAATCTTCGATGAGGAGAGAGGGGGCGCGCGTTTGAGCGTGTCCCACGGGTCGTAAAAAATTTGTAAAATAGATAGCTAAAATGATTAGGTATATACATATATAAATATATCACCTGTTGTCAATACGAACATAGGGCCTATAGTTGGGTGGCGCTACGAAAAAAAAGAAAAGAAACTCTATCGAAATAAGCTCGTTCTTGGATTCGAACGGCTTCGTGTAAATAAGAAAATTAATAACGATATTAAAATAATAAACGAGCAGATGGCGCGAAAGAATTCTTGAGAGAGGAATAATAAACCGCTCGGTTTTTAATCGTATCGCTCGTTATTGAATTAAGTTCGTTTCTTTCTTCGAAAATAACTTTTCTCCGTTCGTTTGCAACGTCTGTAGCTCATCGAACGAGGATTTGGATTTAATTTCGAATTTCTCTCCTCGGCGATGATCTATGGCCTCGAGTTTAAAAAAAAAAAAAAAAAAGAAGAAGAAACTTTAAATTAAATTAGAAAAAAGAAAGACAAACGCATCGTTGACTCGCGTTACGATAATAGACGGCGAGAATAAATAGCATTGATTACGAAAACGAAACAGGGTAGCCTATCAATTATTAAAACGATTCCGAAAGAGAAGGCTGCACACTATGGATTGGCCCCATATATTCGCGTGGTGCGTCGGTGATCAATTGAGTTTGAAAAGGAAAAAGAAGAGGAGGAAAAAGTAGTAGCTCGAGCAAACGTGTCGGTGCGACGATGATGGGAACTCGTATGAACGATGACGTCGTCGCGTGTTCATCAATTAGGAGAACGAAATATACATTTGTATGTATCGAGAAGATATCTTTATATTGAGACGTATGTAACATAATTTCTGTACATAACTGGAATTATTGCTCACCGTATCTCGTAAGATTTAGTTAGTTTTGTAACTAAGTGAAAAGAAAGAAAAAAAAAAATGAATAATGAACTATGTGCATATCTGATTAATTGCGCGGACATTTTCGCGACGGACAGTTCCCCTCGAAAGTTCTCGACCCTGTCGTCGTAGATCGAAAAAAAGAAAAAAAGAAAAAGAAGAAGAAGAAGAAGAAAATAAAAATAACAATAAAAATAAAAATCAGTATTCGTAATAATAATAATAATAATAATAATAATGATAATACTAATAATAATACTAATAATAATAATAATAATAATAAACACTTCCTTCCTATCGAGAACTCGTTCTCACATTCCACGATCGGTCTTGATCGTGCGCGTAGTCCGTCGTCAAGAAAACGATCAGTTCCTCTCGGTTCGCGCTCGAATCGTTTCGTCGAGGGGAACGCGATCAAGTCGAATACGAGATTATACAGTGTAGTATTATCGTACTCTTTAAGCATTTTTCCTCTCGCGATTCGACGATTTCCGTTCTTCTCGCCGCGATATCGACCAACTTCGTCGACGGAGTCTCCCATTTCCGGGCCATGGAACTGTCCACCGGAAGTCCAGCTTTATTGTACATCAATCACTCTGTACAATGTTCATCCTGATGTTACTGTTAACTATTTAAAAAAGGAGAGAGAGAAGAAAAAAAAAAATAAAAGAGTGGAAGCATGCGAGAGAGTGAGCGTGAGAACGAGAGAGAGAGAGAGAGAGAGAGAGGAGGAGGAGAGAGAGAGAGAGAAGT